GGTTCCTATTCTTTTCAGGTTCTCTTCTATTTCTCTGGTGGCTCCTTTTCTGTCTACTTTCTTCCTGTAGTTTTGATGTACTTCTAGAATTCTCTCACTGCCTCCCTCCCCCCACCCCAAGTTGTTGAATAGGTGTTATATGCTACTGACTTCCAAATCCATATCTCCATGGCTCCAGGTACCTTCAGGAGGCCTCAATGCCCAGTGGGGGAGCTCAACATCTTCCCCCAACCTGCTCTTGCGAATCTGCTAAACGGAGCCACCAAGCAGCCGGGCAAGTCAGGTTACCCTGGAGTCATTTGGGGCCACCCTCATTTCCTCCTCACGTCTCATATCCAATCACTCTTGCAGTTTCTACTTCTTTACAAACCTCTTGAACCTATTTCTCTTTCCCATTTCAATTGCTGCGGCCTTGGGTCAGGCCCTCCTATCTTGTCTGGGCTACTGGAATTGCCTCTGGTTTCCTTTCTCCAACCATCTGCACAAAGTTCAAGTTCATTTGGATCAGCAAAGTAGTCTTTCTAAAACACAGATACGGTCACTTTCCCTCCTTGCTTAGAACCCTTCTAGTGTTCTGGAGAATAGTGTACTTCCAAGTGTAAATCCATGTCTGTCTGTCTCTGCAACACCACCTTCAGCTCCCCCACCATCCTTCTTCACTCTGCACTCCCTGGGTGTGCTGCCATGCTGCTCACCGTTCCCTTAAATGTCAGGCAATTTCATTGCAGTGTCTTGCTCATTCTGCTCCCTGTGCCAGGAACCATCTCCTGCCTTCCCTTGCCCCATACAAGCCTGTCTATCTAGGAAACATTCTTTTATCTTCCAAGAGTCGGCTGTATCATGGCCTGTTCCTGAAACCCTTCCCGCCTCCTCAGCTTGTTCCTACAGAGTTTAATATCATGCCCTCCTAACTCGCTCGCCCTTTACAGGTGTATGCTATAACACATTGTTCTTATTGGTTTTTAGAGAGAGGAAGGGAGAGAGAGAGAGAGAGAGAGAGAGAGAGAGAGAGAAACATCAAACATTGCTGTGGGAGAAAAACATCGATTGGTTACCTCTTGTACATGCCCCAACTGGGGACGAACCTGCAACCCAGGTATGTGCCCTGGCTGGGAATCGGACCCCAACCCTCCAGTGTATGGGACGATGGGACGACGTTCCAGGGCAACACTTTGTTGCTTTTTTTTAAATGCTTATTTTTCTAGATTGTAAGTTCCATGGGGGCAAGAACTTACCTATGTTTATATGTTATGCCTTGGATACTATGTGTTTAATAAGTGTTTGTAGAATGGATGACTGAAGATCCCCCTACTTGGGATTAATAACGCTGCTCATTTGTGCACCAAGGCAAACTGTGCCGAATTCCCCAAGAGGTGGGGTGTCTTGATTTGCTGTAAAGCAAGAAGGCAGCTGTAGCACCAGGTGGTCTCGTCAGTGGAGCCCAGGGAGGAGGACTTTTTCCTGGAAAGGGGAATCCTGGCAGCTCTGGGAATCTCTGCCAAAGGGACAGAGCAGGGCTGACGAGGAGTTCATAGCCTGTGATATGGGTCCCGCCCTAAAGTCAAAGAGGCTGACAGAAATGGACACTTTGCTGAGGCCTCAGGGGTGGTAAGAGAGCCAGGCTGCAGCAGGGAGCACAGTCTGTCCCCATGCAGCTTGGACCTAAAAGGCAGGGCAGATGCATCACCTAGGACATCTCTGGCTTGAGCGGATGCCTCAAACTCTCAGGAATAGGGTGTGAAGGATATTCCTAACCTCCCTCCCCCACCCCATCAAGTCGAATTCCCCACCTTCAGCTGGCTCTTGAAGATCAGTCCCTGAAAAAAAAAAGCATGAGATGCTTCAGTGTTGAAGAAGGACAGGACCAGCAGGCTGTGGCTTCGACACTTAATTATAATGTGAGCCTGGGCAAGTCACTTACCTTGCTTAGGTCTCAGTTGCCTCGCCCATAAACTGAACACACCCTGACATGCCTCAACCACTTCACAGGATTATAGTAAAGGCCAAATCGTCATTGTAAGAATAGCCATTCCTTTTATATCCCTTCCTATGCATCAGAGACTCTGCTAGGCGCTATGCAATGTCTTCAGCCATCCTCACCACTCCTCTATGAGGTAGAACTATTATCAGCTCCATTTTACAGACAAATGAACCGAGGGTTAGGGAGGTGAAATGTCTTGCTAGCGAGTGGGCTGAGTGAGGTGGCGTTCGATCTGGAGACCCCGTGGTCTGGCTGCCTGGGCTGTATATTCAGGTATGCGGCTGACCTTGCGGCTTAGGAGCAGAGCGACCGCAGGGCCCCCCTGGGACTCTTGGTCTTGCGGCCACAGTGGCAGCACTTAGTGAGGTGTAGGAAAGAACAGTCCCTTCCCCTGGGCCTCAGAGACGTGTCCCTGAGGGCTCAGCCTTCCCTTCCCAACCACAGAGGTTGGTCCACGTACTGTATTGAATAGTGGCCCCTAAAATTCATGTCCACCCAGAACCTGTGAATGTGAACTTACTGGGAAGTAGGATATTTGCATATGTAATCAAGTTAAAATTACTTCAACTCCTACTGGATTAGGGTGGGCCCTAATTCAGTGACTGATGTCTCTATAGGAAGAGAGAAATTTGGACAGAGATACACACACAGAGGGAAGACGGCCATAGGAAGACGAAGGCAGAGATTGAAGTTATGCTTCCACAGCCAAGGATTGGGGAAGAACACCGAGGATTGTGGGAACCACCAGCAACTAGAAGAGACCAGGCATGGTTCTCCCCTAGAGCCTTCCGGGAGAACATGGGCCTGCTGACACCCTGGTTTCAGATTTCTAGCCTCCAGAACTGGGAGAGAATACATTTCTGTTATTTTAAGCTCACCAGTTTGTGGTGTTAGAGCAGCCCCAGGAAACTAACACAGTCCCCTAGTGCTGTGCCCACCACAGCTGGGAGCCCTAGGGTGTGGGTGGAGCAGAGTTTGGGAGACCAGTTTAATGGACTAGAGAAGGGAGGTGCCTATTGGGGGGGGGGGGATAGGGAGTAGGGGGGTGAAGGAGAGCAGTATAAAAATAAGGTGTTTACTCATCTAGCTACACTGACCCATTTGTAGACAGTGCCTCTGCATGACTTTGCATGTGTGTGTATGGGGGGGGGGGTAGTGGGGGGGATGTGTCTACAGTCTTGTTTTTTTTCTGGGGAGGATGGGGCTTCTTCAGGTAGGTGACAACTTACAAAGTGAGGACTTCATTTGAGAAACTCCTCCTTTTACCCTTTGGTCACCGTTTCCAACCCTAGATCCTAGATGATAATACTGGACTTAGAGAGGTAAAATACTTGCCCAAGTTGTCAATTGGTAAGAAAAGGAGAATTCAGATCCATAATTTTGGCTCTTTTTTTTTTTTACAATCTCAAGCCAAAGAAAGTAAACTCTTTTCAGAAAGATATAGGCGATTTTATCTTTTATAAGCATTTTCCCTGAATTTGAAAGTAACACTTGTTTATTTGTAAAAGATTTAGAAAATACTGAAATGTTTAAAGAAAAAGTAAAAAATTATTCTGGCAATGACTACTGATAATATCCGTCTGGTCCTTTTCTATGCAGATATATATTATAATAAAATTAGAATAATACTGTAAACAGCTTTGTGTGTTTTTTTAATCCTCACCCCAGGATATATAAGAGGTCACCAAAAATGTATACATACTTTTATAACTGATAACTCAATTTTGAAAGTGAACTGTATGTTAATAAACACTGACTTTATAATCAAAGCGTGTATCATTTTGGGGGACATCCTGTATTTCCATTGATTTGAGAGAAGGGGGAGAGAGGAATGGGTTGCCTTCTTAGGGGTCCTGACCCTGACTAGGGATGGAACGGGAAACCTAGGTATGTGCTCTGATTGGAATCGAACCCTCAATCCTCCCCTCCCCCCAACCAACTGAGCCACCCCACAAGGCAACATCTTTGTATTTTGCTTTTTAATTTAACATGATCTCATTTATCATCATTATCATTCATTTAACATTTTCTCACTTCATGGCTTTTTATAACCATACTTTTTAATTACTAAATAATACTCCATCCTATGGATGGGCCATAATTTTTTGTCTTCTATAATTGCCTGGTTAAGTTACTAGCCTTTTACAGCGATAAACATGCAACGGTTAAAACTTTTCATAAGCATTTATTCTGTATTATTTCCTGAAGGCAGATAGGGGATATACCGGGCCAAAAGGTATGAGTATTTTAAGGCATTCTATACATAATGCCGAATTGTTTACCCAAAAGGTCCTCCCGAGGAGCCGCATGTGAGTGCCCCTCCAGCACCCTCACCGAGGTTGAGCACTAACTATCATTAAAAAGCCTTGGAATGTGCTGAAAAGGGGCATCCCATCATCGATCACACAGGTTGCTGGGCGCCCGGAGGATTGCAGGGCGGAGACCAGTGAGCAGACGGCGGCGACGATCCTGCTGGGACAGGAGGCTAGGCAGTGGGGTGAAGGCGACCAGAAAACGCAGGGGCCTCTCAGGGCAGTGGACGCGGGGGAGGAGGCTGTGCCGATAAGATAACTGCGCTGGGTGGGGTGCAGGGGCGGGCGGAAACTGCGCGTTCCCTTTCAATCACATCTGTTCCAGGAGCTTTTAACAAAACTAATCAGAGATTCCCTTCCTCTCTCCAAGAGTTCACTTTCAACTGTACTTCAAAACCACGTCCACTGAATGAAGTTACAAGACTTGGCCTGAAAGGAGATTTTCAGTCTGTTCAAAGAAACTCAAAATGTTCCTATCAGAAGCTCAACTGCTGCCATTATGCTTTTCTTCTTAAGAAATGAGTGTCTTCTGTTACTAATGCAATTTTACATTTTTAAATACTAGTGTGAAAATTCCAAAGAGAGGCCTTAAAACCTGG